CGGTACCCTACTACCGCCTCTTCCCCTACCGCACTCCGTCCCTCCCCCCACCCCCGCTCTTCTTGGTACCAGGTCCCCCCCCGGTAGTCCCCCTCCCCCCTCAGGGTCCTGCCCCTTCAGGTGTGTCCCAGGTAGACGCGGTCGAGCCTGTCGAGGTCACTGGTGACTCTGGTGCTGCTGCGGGAGCTGAGCCTGGGGGTGCAGAGTCTGGGGGTGCTGAGCCTGGAGGTGTTGAGCCTGGGGGTGCTGTGCCTGGGGGTGCTGAGCCTGGAGGTGCCGAGTCTGGGGGTGCTGTGCCTGGGGGTGCTGAGCCTGGAGGTGCTGCGCCTGGGGGTGCTGTGCCTGAGGTTGCTGAGCCTGGGGGTGCTGTGCCTGGGGGTGCTGTGTCTAGGGGTTCTGAGCCTGGAGGTGCTGTGCGTGGGGGTGCTTCGTCTCGCCGGGAGCCACTCTCCCCACAGGAGCTGCGTGAGTGGTTTGCCAGGCGCTGGAGGCGTGCTGCTGGTGCGGGTGGTTCTTCGGCTGCAGAGGGTACTGCTGCCGCGCGTCCCGCCGGTGCTCGCACTGTGGGTGCTGGAGCTGTTGGGTCCTGAGAGTTCTCCTGGAGCTGGTCCTGCTGAGGGTGTTGGCGCTGAGCCTGCCGTTGGCGGTCCGACTGACAGTGCTCCTGGTGCTGCGGCTGGGGGTTCTGGAGCTTCTAGTGGTGCTGCTGGAGGTGCTGCTGGAGTGGGTGCTCCTGCCGGGACTGCTGGTGCTGTTCCTGCTGTTTCTAGCGTCGCCGCGCGGCCCCGACCGTACTTCGTTCCGCTCCTGCTAGCAGGTTCTTGGTCTTACACCTCCTCCTCCTCCCTTAGAGGGTCCGCAGCCTGTCCGGTCACAGCCACAGCTACAGCCTGCCTCCCCTTTGCCTGCTCCTTCTCCCTACGCTGGTCCGACTAGAGGTCTTACTCAGCGTCGTGAGCCTGCGTCTCGTCCTGTGTCGCCTGTTTGTACTGAGCGCGCTAGTGGTCGCGGGTCGCGTCAGCGTCCTCCTCCTGTCCCTGGCACGCACCGGATGTCACTGCGTCCGTCCACTGCTCCTCTGCGTGCCCCTTTGCCTTCTCCTCCTGCTTCCTCTCTTCCTGCTCTTGCCGACCCGGAGTCGGACTCTCTTCGTGCTGCCAGTCCTACTGTCACGCGTCTCCTGGCTACTGCTGTCACTGACCCCTCCTTCGAGTCGTCTGCTGCGTCTGCCCTTGTCACTGAGCTTGTCGACTTTGCTGCGCGCTGTCGTCTAGACTACGCTGCTCGTCTTGTCGCTGAGTCTGAGTCTGCCTGTCCTCCGTCCGTCGGGGGTGAGTGTGCCCTTGGCACGGACGTCCTTGAGGACAGGCAGGAGGAGTTCCAGTGTCTGGCCGCCGCTTCACCTCGTCTCGCGCCTGTACTGCTAGCCCCTGAGGGAGACCCGGATGCACCAGACATCCCGACTCCGCGCTCTTACGCGGAGGCGATAGAGGGTCCCTACTCCTCTCAGTGGCAGGCAGCTATGGATGCAGAGATGGCTTCCTGGAAGTCCACAGGCACCTACGTTGACGCTGTTCCCCCTCCTGGGGCGAACATCGTCAGTGGCATGTGGATTTTCAGGGTGAAGCGGCCGCCGGGATCTCCGCCTGTCTTCAAGGCGCGTTACGTGGCTCGTGGCTTCAGTCAGCGGCAGGGGGTTGACTACTTTCAGACCTTCTCCCCCACCCCGAAGATGACCACTCTTCGGGTTCTGCTGCACGTTGCTGCTCACCGTGACTACGAGCTGCACTCTCTCGACTTCAGCACAGCTTTCTTGCAGGGCAGCCTGCACGAGGAGATCTGGCTGCGTCGCCCACCTGGCTTCACTGGGTCTTTCCCTCCTGGTACCCAGTGGAGTCTCCGGCGTCCAGTCTACGGTCTCCGCCAGGCGCCACGTGAGTGGCACGACACACTGAGGACTACGCTCGCGGCACTTGGGTTTGCTCCTTCCACTGCCGACCCGTCGCTGTTTCTGCGCACCGACACCTCTCTGCCGCCGTTCTACATCCTCGTGTACGTCGACGACTTGGTCTTTGCCACAGCTGACACTGCTGGACTCGCCTACAGTGAAGTCCGAGCTGCAGAAGAGACACACGTGCACTGACCTGGGTGAACTGCGCAGCTACCTTGGCTTGCAGATCACCCGGGACAGAGCACGCCGCACCATTACCCTGACTCAGTCACACATGGTGCAGCAGGTCCTTCAGCGCTTCGGCTTCACGTACTCCTCGCCTCAGGCCACTCCTCTGCCTACTCGCCACTCGCTCTCAGCTCTGCCTTCGGATGAGTCCGTAGAGTCGAGTGGCCCGTTTGCAGAGCTTGTTGGCTGCCTCATGTACCTGATGACCTGCACACGACCTGACCTCGCATACCCTCTTAGCATTCTCGCAACGCTTTGTTGCTCCTGGGAGACACCGACCAGAGCACATGGCTGCAGCGAAGAGGGTGTTGCGCTACTTGTGCAGTACGTCGGGCATGGGGCTAGTGCTTGGAGGGCGCAGTCCAGTGGTCCTCACTGGGCACGCAGACGCTTCTTGGGCTGATGACCAGGCTACGCAGCGGTCGTCACAGGGTTACACCTTCAGCCTTGGTTCCGGCTCTGTCTCGTGGCGGGCTACCCGCTCGTCTTCTGTTCTCGGCTCCAGTTGTGAGGCTGAGATCTACGCTGGGGCTATGGCTGCACAGGAGTTACGCTGGCTCACCTACCTGCTGACCGACCTTGGAGAGCAGCCTCGTTCTCCTCCAGTCCTGTACGTAGACAGCAAGGCCTATGTTGGCCTTGTGTCGAGAGCAGCGACTGGAGCACAGAATCGAAGCACATTGCTCTTCGCTACTTTCTTGCTCGTGAGCTACAGCAGCGTGGACAGCTGCGACTTGCGTACGTGGCCTCTGAGGCCAACACTGCTGATGTCTTCACCAAGGCACTTGCGCCTTGTGATCATCATGCGTTGCTGCACGCAGTTGGGTCTTGTGCCTGTCTTGCCTCACTTGCTCTCCTCTTGACCTTGCTTGTACCTTCGCATATATATACTCTTGCTCTTGCTTGCTTGACTCTTGTATACCTCTATATATGATCTTGCATGTGAACTGGCCTTGTGGCCTTTGAACTTGTGCTCGGAATGCGTGGTGACTTTGTGATCCACCCTGAGCTTTGCTTTGCTTTGCTTGACTGGTCTTGTGACCCCTTGTTCTCCCCCACTTTGCCTATGGGGGTGTGTCAGAACATATAGCTTACTTGTTTGTGTAGGCTATAGTGGGGTATCCCATAGGGGGTACAACACAATTAGGGTTTCCTATTTGTACTCACTTCGTTCATACTCATTTCATTCTCGTTCAATTCTTCTCACTAGCCTGTAGTGGGGTGCTCTATAGCGAGTACAACCCTTCTAGGGTTTCCTATTTGTATCCCCATTCTTGCTAGTGCAGCCCTCTTCTCTCTTCAATCTTTAACAGATGGTGCATGTTTGTATAGATGTCTATCACTCGCAACATGGAATGATGATAATTATTGGGACCTATTAAAAGTGAGGATTGTTGAGCATGTTTGCGACAACTGGTCACGATATCAAAACTTGGTTGCAATGTGTCACGATGTGTCGTTAACGACGATATACCAGTATGTTCAATATATCAACGAACAATCTGTTTGGGGTTCAACGTGCGAAATTAGAGCATTTTGTGAGTTAATGAACAAAACAGTCATAGTATGGCTCAATTCTCGCGAGTGGGTGCAATACGAAGGGTTAGAGTTCCTATCTCGACATAACCAGATTCATTTGTTATCCAGCAACCATTACACTCTACTTGAAGAGTGTAACGAGGGTGAGATTTGGGGTATCTCGTTCTTTGCTTCTGAAGTGTCAAGCGTACATGATAGACGGGTTGAACCAGTAATGCACCACATGCAGCATGAGCATGCGTCATTAGGCGATGATTCGCTTGAGCAAGCAAGGAGTGCACAATCTTTCGGTAGTGCGGAAGTTATGGAACAGTCAAGCAATCATGACGAACGAGTGGGATCAGTAACTACTTCTCGAGTATATAGTACGCGTCCAAGTTGTATTGACAGGGTGCAAGAAGGTGTGGAACTGTCAAACGTTTCCGATAATCAAGTTGAATCAAGAACGTTTCACTTGAAACGCGAACACGTTCGATTGAACAATCGATCAAGAGAGCAAACAACCAGTAGGTAACGTGTTCGTATGCACGAAGCGCATGAAGATGAAGAACGGTCAAGGACCTACGGTGTACGAGTTGAGTCGGTTTCGCCGCGCACGCAGCGTGTGCATACTTCATCCAATATTGTTCCACACAATGGAACCAGGACGACGCCAAATAGTTTTGAAGATAAAAATCAAGACGATGAAGTAAGATTCAGCATATCTGACGAACGGATTGATTCCAATGGAGATATTCACTTTTCAATCCCAAACATTGCCCCAAACAGTGAAGGTCTTGTAGTCATCATCGAAGACGGATCTCGTTTTACCGTACGATTAATGGTAAATGAGAAGAAACGAGAATGGGATGAACTATGAATGAAATGAGTACAAGTACTAACCCTAATTGGGTTGTACCCCTTATAGGCTACCCCACTATAGCCTACACAATAAGCACAAGCTATATGTTCTGACACACCCCCATAGGAAAAGTGGGGGAGAACAAGGGGTCACAAGACCAGTCAAGCAAAGCAAAGCAAAGCAAGCTCGAGGTGGATCACAAAGCCACCACACATTCCGAGCACAACTTCAAGGCCACAAGGCCAGTTCACATGCAAGAGTACATGTATATAAAGGACTAGACAAGCAATAGCCGGTGTATATATATATATATGCAACAGTACAAGCAAGGTCAAGAGGTAAGCAAGTGAGGCAAGACAGGCACAAGACCCAGCTGCAGTGCAGAAGCGCTGATGATCACAAGGCGCAAGTGCCTTGGTGAAGACATCAGCACTGTTGGCCTCAGAGGCCACATACGTCAAGCCGCAACTGACCATGCTGCTGTAGCTCACGAGCAAGAAAGTAGCGAAGAGCAATGTGCTTTGTTCTGTGCTCCAGTCTCTGCTCTCGACACAAGGCCAGCATGGCCTTGTTGTCTACGTACAAGACTGGAGGAGAACGAGGTGGCTCTCCAAGGTCGGTCAGCAGGTAGGTGAGCCAGCGAAGCTCCTGTGCAGCCATGGCCCCGGCGTAGATCTCAGCCTCACAACTGGAGCCGAGAACAGAAGACGAGCGAGTAGCCCGCCACGAAACAGAGCCGAAACCAAGGCTGAAGGTGTAGCCCTGCGACGACCGCTGCGTAGCCTGGTCGTCAGCCCAAGAAGCGTCCGCGTGCCCAGTGAGGACCACTGGACTCCGCCCTCCAAGCACTAGCCCCATGCCCGACGTACTGCACAAGTAGCGCAACACCCTCTTCGCTGCAGCCATGTGCTCTGGTCGGTGTCTACCAGGAGCAACATAGCGTGCGAGAATGCTAAGAGGGTATGCAAGGTCAGGTTGTGTGCAGGTCATCAGGTACATGAGGCAGCCAATAAGCTCTGGATACGGGCCACTCGACTCTACGGACTCATCCGAAGGCAGAGCTGAGAGCGAGTGGCGAGTAGGCAGAGGAGTGGCCTGAGGCGAGGAGTACGTGAAGCCGAAGCGCTGAAGGACCTGCTGCACCATGTGTGACTGAGTCAGAGTAATGGTGCGCTGTGCTCTGTCCCGGGTGATCTGCAAGCCAAGGTAGCTGCGCAGTTCACCCAGGTCTGTGCACGTGTGTCTCTTCTGCAGCTCGGACTTCACGTAGGCGAGTCCAGCAGTGTCAGCTGTGGCAAAGACCAAGTCGTCGACGTACACGAGGATGTAGAACGGCGGCAGAGAGGTGTCGGTGCGCAGAAACAGCGACGGGTCGGCAGTAGAAGGAGCAAACCCAAGAGCCGCAAGCGTAGTCCTCAGTGTGTCGTGCCACTTACGGGGCGCCTGGCCGAGACCGTAGACTGGACGCCGGAGACTCCACTGAGTACCAGGAGGGAAAGACCCAGTGAAGCCAGGTGGGCGGCGCAGCCAGATCTCCTCGTGCAGGCTGCCCTGCAAGAAAGCTGTGCTGAAGTCAAGAGAGTGCAGCTCGTAGTCACGGTGAGCAGCAACGTGCAGCAGTACCCAAAGAGTGGTCATCTTTGGGGTGGGAGAGAAGGTCTGAAAGTAGTCAACTCCCTGCCGCTGACTGAAGCCACGAGCCACGTAACGCGCCTTGAAGATAGGCGGAGAACCCGGCGGCTGCTTCACCCTGAAGATCCACATATCACTGACGATGTTCGCCCCAGGAGGGGGAACAGCGTCAACGTAGGTGCCTGTGGACTTCCAGGAAGCAATCTCTGCATCCATAGCTGCCTGCCACTGAGAGGAAGTAGGGACCCTCTATCGCCTCCGCGTAAGAGCGAGGAGTCGGGATGTCAAGTGCATCCGGATCTCCCTCAAGGGTAAGCAGTACGGACACGAGATGAGGTGAAGCAGCGGCCAAGAACTGGAACTCCTCCTGCCTGTCCTCAAGGACGTCCGTGCCAAGGGCACACTCACCCCCGACGGACGGAGGAATGACAGACTCAGACTCAGCGACAAGACTAGCAGCGTAGTCTAGGCGACAGCGAGCAGCAAAGTCGACGAGCTCAGCAACTAGGGCAGACGCAGCAGTGGACTCGAAAGAAGGGTCAGTGACTGACAGTAGCCAGGAGACGCGTGACAGTAGGACTGGCAGAACGAAGAGAGTCCGACTCCGGGCCGGCAAAAGCAGGAAGAGAGGACCCAGGAGGACAAGGCAAAGGGGCACGCAGAGGAGCAGTGGACGGACGCAGAGACATACTGTGCGTGCCAAGGACAGGAGGAGGACGCTGACACGAACCACGACCACTAGCACGAGCAGCACGGACAGGCGACGAAGGGCGAGACGCAGGCTCATGACGCTTAGTAAGACCTCCAGTAGGACTAGTGTAGGGAGAAGGAGCAGGCAAAGGAGAGGTAGGCTGCAACTGTAACTGGGACGGGACTGGCTATGGACACTCTAAAGAAGGAGGAGGACCAGTAGAAGGCGGAAGACCAAGAACCTGCTGCAGGAGTGGAACGAAGTACGGTCGAGGCGGCGCGGCGACGCCAGACACAGCAGGTACAGCACTAGTACCCCCAGCAGGAGCCCCCGCTCCAGCTGCACCTCCAGTAGCGCCAGAACCGCCAGCAGCACTAAGAGTACCCGCAGCAGGACCGCCAGTAGTAGTCTCAGCTCCAACACCCTCAGCAGCACCAGCTCTAGTCGAACCCGCAGGCCCAGCAGCTCCAGTACTCCCAGTATGAGCACCTCCGGGACCCGCGACAGCAGCACCCTCAGCAGCCGAAGAATCCTCCAGTACCAGCAGCACTCCTCCAGCGCCGGGCAAACCACTCGCGCAGCTCCTGTGGAGAGAGTGGCTCCCGCAGAGACGAAGCACCCGGAGAACCCCCTGGCGGAGCACCTCCAAGCTCAGCACCCTCCGGCTCAGCACCCCCAGGCTCAGCACCCCCAGGCTCAGCACCCCCAGGCGCAGCACCCTCAGACTCAGCACCCCCAGGCTCAGCACCCCAAGGCTCAGCACCCCCAGGCTCAGCACCCCCAGGCTCAGCACCCCCAGTCGCAGCACCCCCAGGCTCAGCATCCCCAGGCTCAGCACCCCCAGTCGCAGCACCCCCAGGCTCAGCACCCTCAGCAGCACCAGAGTCACCAGTGACCTCGACAGGCTCGACTGCGTCTACCTGGGACACACCTGAAGGGGACGGACCCTGAGGGGGGAGGGGGTCTACCTGGAGGGGGACCTGGTACAAGGAAGAGCGGCGGCGGGGGGAGGGACGGAGTGCGGTAGGGGAAGAGGCGGTAGTAGGGGACCGACTCGTCAAACGTGACGTCCTGGGAGGACAGAACACGGCGAGAGGTGGGGTGGTAGAACTACCACCCAGGCGCGTCAGGGGGGAAACCCAGGAAGACGCAAGGAGCAGCACGAGGGGACAGCTTGTCCGCGGACAAGTCGCGGACAAACGCCCGAGATCCCCAGACCCGGAACGCCGACGCATCGCCAACCTTCCCCGTCCACAGCAAGGCTGGGGAGGTCTCCGGCCTGGAGACCCTGGGGTGTAGGTTGAGCTGATGCGCCGCGTACCTCACCGCAAACGGCCACAGAGAATGGGGAGCAGCCGCATGCATCATAGACGTACGAGCGACGTCCATGACCATGCCAATGCGGCGCTCAGCAATCCCATTTTGCTGCAGGGAGTCCGGAAGCGTGAAGGTCTGACGGATTCCTCGTGCGCGACAGTAGGCTCTCAGAAGGCCAGAAGAAAACTCTCCGCCTCTGTCCGAGTGCAGACGCAGAACTCGAAAGTCCGAGCAAAAGCTCTACCTGAGCTGGAGACGAGCTGCGCGGATCCAGTCGATCAGCACCTCAGTGACATCACCCTTGCTGCGCAAGGGGAAGACTGTGGTGTAACACGAGTAGTCGTCAACAACGAGCAGGAAGAAGCGCTCGTGACCCTGTCCACGAACGCGGGCTGGGCCCCACACGTCCATGTGAAGCGTCTGCAACGGGGTCTCTGTCGGAGGAAACTGGGAGGAGTGAGGGGCAGCCCGCTGGCGCCCCTCGACACAGGGGACACAGGTAGGGCCAGGGCCCTGAGGAAGGGGAGGGAGGGACCGAGGGAGACCAGAAACAAGAAGACGGGAGGCCATGCCTCTGAGCCGAAGAAGAGAGGGGGGACCAAGGCGGTGGTGCCAGAGGAGAGTCTCGTGAGACAGGAGACGACACGAACAGGGGGCAGACTCATGACCAGACCTGGACGCTGCAGCAAACACCTGACCCGACGCAGTGACCCTACCAGACTCAACAACTGGAGGAGACGCAGTGGTCAATGTGTACAGGCTCGACCCCAGCTGACGTGTAAACGTAGCGAGGTGTCGGCCTTTGCTAGCCTCTGTGCAGTGGGTCACCCGCTGACGCGCAGGAGTGAACTGGTGTACTCCCCCATCCTGTAGGTCAGCACCACTCACCAGGTTCGTAGAGAACGAGGGGAGGTAGAGACCAGACAAGGTGCCAGAGGGAGCCGCCGGACACGGGAGGACCGTGGAGAAGTGAGACAGGACAGGACCCCCAGAGGGGTCAGCCAGAGACACCGCAACGGGCCGACTAAGCGGCGTGAGTGTGGTGCGGTCCCGAAAGAAGGAGCGAGAAGCCCCAGAGTCAAGGGTGAAAGTGAGGGAGGCCGAAGCCGACGTAGTACCTGAGAGCGCAGACTCACCAGTACCTGAGGACGTAGACGCACTAGCACCTAGAGCAGCAGCGTCGCAAGCACCTAGGGCAGCCGCCTCACCAGTACCTAGAGCAGCAGTCTCAATGCCCGGATCGGGCGGGAAACACCGGTAACAGTCACCCTCATCACTAATAGACACAGCATACATGGCAGAAAGAATAGCATCAAAATCAAGATCATAGATGGCAACACCCGCCCGAGACAGCTCGCCCCAGCGAGGGATCTCTGTGGCCTCCGGGAACTGGTGACGCCACGCGTCCGTCAGGCGACCAAAGCAGCGCTGGGTGGGGTGCGCACCCCCACACTGCTCACCCGCATGGTCGCCGGTGCGCAGGACGTAGGTGCACGGACCAAAACCCCCACCCCGCTGGCGTGCAGTGTACCACTCACGGAGCTGCTGAGGGGACAGGGTCTCACGACCGCGCTGCTGCTGCTGGCGCGGACCACCACCGGAGCCACTACTCTGCGTAGACCCGCGACCAGCTCCACCGCCACCCCCGCCGCCTCCGCCGCCTCCGCCGCCTCCGCTACTACCGCCGCCTCCGCCGCCTCCTCCACCGCCGCCACCTCCGCCACCTCCGCTCCCACCGCCACCGCCGCCGCCGCCTCCACCTCCACTGCCGTCACCGACAACTCCACCCCCACCACCACTCCCACCGCCACCCCCACTCCCCCCGCCGCCTCCACCTCCACCTCCACCGCCCCCGCTCGCCCCTCCAGTGCCCCTGCCCCCCTTGCCCTTGCCAGAGCGGCGTCTCTCGCTAGGGGCAGACGCCGCACCGACCGACTCAAGACAAGGAGGTCGGCCGCAGCAGCAGAGGCAACAGAGGGTAGTAGGGGGGAGGGGAGAACACCCCTCAAAGATGGGGGTGCGCGGGTCACCACGAGAGGCCCCTAGAGCGACTATGCTCTTCTCGGCCGCTAGGAGGGACTTCTCGAGGAGGTCAACAGTGAGAGTGGTTGGACAGACTGAGAGGAAGTGGTCCCTGACTACGCGAAGGGAGTCAGGGAGGCGAGTGACTATGTAGTAGAGAGTGATGTACATGGGGGGGGGGGTTCTTGGCGCAGAAGTCAGCGGGAAGCGCAGCGCGGTAGCGAGTGTCACTAGTGTGGAGGTGCGTAATGAGGTCAGCGACTGTGGGAAAGGCAGTAAGGTCAGGGAAGAGGTACGGTAGCATGAGACGGCTCAGTGCAGCAGTGGCAGGGGAGGAGTAGCGCGCAACTACAGCGTCGTACAAGGTCTGGGCACTCTTGTACTAACTAAAGTGCGCGCGCTCGGAGGTAGGCAGGTGGCGACGCACAGCAAGACGTGCAGCAGCGTTGCGCATGGCCCACTGTGAGCGGACAGTGGCGTCGGCATCAGCAGCAGGGGCAAGAGAGGCGCCAGAGGTGAGGTCAAAGAGTGAGAGACCGTCTGCCCTATCACACTGTAAAAACAGCTGCAGGTCATCTACCCAGACGTCAAAGTCAATGGCTCGACCCTCAGCGTCAAAAGCGAGGACACTAGGGGTAGCCATGACGTTGTCCGAATCTATGCGGCAAACAATGATATCATTTTGACCAAGAGGAATGAATATTCGATGAATGGAGATACGTGGATACGTGCACTGGAAAACGCTATTGGTGTGGATGACGACGTCGACGATCCCGATAACGAAACGTTACCAAATGAAGACGTTGATATCGGCGTCGAACTTGGGTTGGACAAATTTGTCCGATCTACCGATATTTTTCATTCGGTGGCTGCAAACGAAAGAGATTATCTATCGATGGAACGCATGTTGAATGCAGAGCAACGTGCAGTTGCCGATCACATCGTACGTGGAGTGCGTCGCTTCATTTCAATATGGACCTTTGTCCATATTTGTTAGCGGGGGTGCTGGCGTCGGGAAGTCCGTTTTGATTAGAACGGTTCACGATCGACTAATTCGAATATTTCATGCGCAGATCCATACAAATTTCAATACGATCAAAGTGTTAAAAATAGCTTCCTCAGGAGTTGCAGCCTTTCAGATTAAGGGTTATACGAATTCATAATGCTTTAATGATTCCAGTCGTGCAGAATCGTCGTATAAAGAAATTAACTTCGGACAGGTTAAATACTTTAAGATCAAGACTTGGAGACGTAAAAGTTGTTATTGTCGACGAAATAACAATGGTTGGGAAAAACACATTCGAATGGATAGATTTTAGGCTTCGTGAGCTTACAAATAATGCGAACGTTCCTTTCGGGGGTTTGCACATGGTCTTTGTTGGAGATTTTTTCCAACTACCTCCAGTGCGTGATATACATTGTTTCGACGATCATACAAATCAATCTTCAATATGCGATTTGAATATTTGGAGACGTGTACAACTTGTAGAACTTACGACGATCATGCGGCAACGTGAAGAGGGAAGATTTGCCGAATTGTTAAACCGTTTGCGCGAAGGGGCCCAAACTCCTATGGACATACAGTTGTTACATGACCGGCAAGTTGATATTCCTTCAGTAGAGACAAGCTTGCAACACTTATGTTGCACTAATAAAGCCATCGACTCGTTTAACCACGCTATTTTCTCATCTTCGTTGGAAGAGAAATACGCAGTCCCAGCGTTGGATTGTGCGTTGTTCGGGAATGACCAATCTGTGAGATTTTAGAAGAAAGAAGAGGGGGCTGCACTAGCAAGAATGGGGATACAAATAGGAAACCCTAAAAGGGTTGTACTCGCTATAGAGCACCCCACTACAGGCTAGAGCATAAGATAACGTTCTAACACACCCCCATAGGCCAAAGTGGGGTGTAATCAGCAGAGCAAGCAAAGCAGTACAAGCTCAGGGTGGATCACAATGTCACCACACATTCTGAGCACAAGTGCAAGAAGCAATAGTTTAAAGTTCACAATTATGAGCAAAGCTAGTGGTAGTCACAACGTGCAAGTGAGGAGGAGGAGAGAGAGTGAGAGGAGAGGAGATAGGAGGCGACGGATGAAGCTGCAGACACACGGGCAACAGGAGGCACACTGGCCCAGCGGCTACCGGAACAACGCTCCGGAATACTGGAGTAACTGGCCCCGCGGCTAAAGTAGCGGCAGACGAGCAACGGACCCACGGGCGGCTGGCACAGCTGGCTACGACTGGGCTACTGGAGCAACTCCCCGGAATACAGGTGCTGCTGGTGACACGACGGCAACCTCCATTCAGCTTCCCCAAACTATCCCACTCCCCCCTGGCACACACCCGCTGCTACACCGCTAGCTCCACTCCCCCTTCACCCCCCCTTAGTACCACTCCACCGGCTCCAACACGTCCACCCCCCCTCAGCGACAGCTGCAGCACAGGGAGACGGAGGAGGAGGAGGAGCAGGGAACGGCACACAGTGAGGTCACCCCCAGTACCCCTCACCCCCAAACCCTAATTCAGGAGAATGGGGAGTAGGAGGGGTGGGGCTCCAGTAGAAGCACTGGGGGACAGCGGGGAGGGCAGGGGCAGCGAGGAACGGGCCCACCACGGGCCTGGTACAGACGCCCTGAGCCGCGCGCAGGCGGCCCAAGTCGCGCGCGGGCCTGGCGCCGTCCGTACGGGCCGCGCACGGGGTTGGCGCCGCCCATACGGGTCGCGCGCGGGTCTGGCGCAGCCCGTAGGGGCCGCGCGCGGGCCTGGCGCAGCCCGTACGGGCCGCGCGCTGCCTGTACAGGCCGCGCGCAGGCCACGACGGGCGACGGGGGGCGACGCGCGGATCCCCGTCGCCCGTCGCGGCGCTCCAGAGGACGACGCGCCGAACGACGGGGCAGAAGCCCGCCGCGCGCCTCGGGGCGCACAGCGGGCAGAAAACCGCCGCGCGCCTCGGGGCACACGGCGGGCAGAAAACCGCCGCGTGCCTCGGGGCGCACGGCGGGAAGAAAAACAGCCGCACGCCACGGGGCGTGCGGCACAGCGAGTAGAAGTAGTAGTTGCAACGGAAGCAACGAGGTGGTAAGCCCACCCACAGGATCGATCCAAGGGGATCGACCTGCTCTGATACCATGTGAGATTTTAGAAGAAAGAAGAGGGGGCTGCACTAGCAAGAATGGGGATACAAATAGGAAACCCTGAAAAGGGTTGTACTCGCTATAAAGCACCCCACTACAGGCTAGAGCATAAGATAACATTCTGACACAATCCAGGAAAGATAAACCGATTACCCCAGATGGGTTTGCGACAACTTCATCACATGGGTTATGTTCGGTTCTTGAGCTTTTTATCAGCTCGTGTGTGCACATGGTTTGTAATGTGGATATGTCAGACGGGCTTGCTAATGGCACACCTGGCATTGTAGTTCATTTTTCAGTGAATGCACACAATACGGTGGAAGTGATATGGGTCCAATTTGATGATGAAGCTGTTGGCAGTAATATGCGTAGAAAATCTCGACCGTTGTTTTCTAAGATTCTGGGGGTAAAACCATCTTGGACGCCTATTCAACGAAAAGAGAAGACATTCTCGGTAAATTCTCGCTATGACACGATTTCTCTGTCGAACTTAAAGTAGATTAAGTTGAAAGGTGAGGGGCCTAGGCTTAGTAGCCTAGGCCCTTAACTAGGTATCGAGCGGGTTTTCACCTAGGGTGAGTGTCGAGTGAGTTGGAGAGGAGAAATTGGAGAAAAAAAAAGGGGTTTCACTATAGGATTCGAGATACATATAGCAAAGGAACACATGAAGGGGTGCACCACCTACAAATTAATAATTACACTACAGCTAGAACTTCATGCAGTTATAATAAATATGATTTTGACATCCCCCCGTAACTGCATGCAGGAATAGCTAAGTGTCGAGCACAACTTGCAGAGGTACACCAACGAGAGCAATAAACAACAACAGCAGGTACTGCAGGCGGGCTAACTTTGAAGGGTACCCCCTCCATTCCTCACCCTCTCCTCCCCTCCCCACACGCTGCGAAGCAGCAGAGAAAGGGGGAAGAGAGGAGAGGTGGAGAGCGGCTCCTTGTGCCTCACACCGCCCCCGGTACCAATCCCCCTGCTCACCCACATCCTCACACCCTCCCCCCCAGCAGCAGCTGCATGGTGACTGAAAGAAGGAGGGGAAGGGAGAGAGTTGACCACCGCACCAACACCCTCCACCCCCATACCCTCCTCCCACGGCTGCAGGGAGACAAGAGAAGGGGGGGGTGGAAGGAAGAAAGCCGCAGAGCGGCGAAGAGGGCGTCGGTGCAGATGGGTCGGGGGCGGCAGCAGGGAGTGCAGGGGCGGAGAGGCCCGTCGCGGGCCAGTGCCACGGGGGCGCACGACGGATAGGATAAAAGGGCCGATCGTGTGCCTCGGGGCACACGACGAGCAGGGCACCATCGTGTGCCACGGGGCGCACGATGGGCAGATAAAGGGCACCGTCGCGTGCCTCGGGGCGCGCGACGGGCAGGGTAGGAGTCACACGCCCGTGGGCGGACAAAGTAAAACTAAAATCGTCACGCGCCCAGGCGCGCGACCGGGGAAAATCTCAGCAGCGGAAGGAGTAACGCGGGCCCACAGGCAGGACGAGAAACAGCTCTGATACCATGTCGAACTTAAAGTAGATTAAGTTGAAAGGTGAGGGGCCTAGGCTTAGTAGCCTAGGCCCTTAACTAGGTACGAGCGGGTTTTTCACCTAGGGTGAGTGTCGAGTGAGTTGAGAGGAGAAATTGGAGAAAAAAAAAGGGGTTTTCACTATAGGATTCGAGATACATATAGCAAAGGAACACATGAAGGGGTGCACCACCTACAAATTTAATAACTACACTACAGCTATAACTTCATGCAGTTATAATAAATATGATTTGACATTCTCGAATGCAGTTTCCATTACGACCAGTAATGCGATAAGCTTCACCGAAGCCAAGGTGCTACTTTGAAAGTGGAGTCATACATTTTGAATCCAAAGTTTTTCCTCAAGGAGCATATGTTGCTTTGAGTCGATTTCGCAGCCCTTCTCGATTGTTCCTTCGAAGCTTTTCAGAAGCATGCATTAAAACCG